ACCTTCTTTCTCGTTAGAAAACAAGCATGCAAGTAAAAAAAAAAAAAAAAATGAAACAAACCAGAATAAAATAAACAGAAAAAAAAAAGCATGCACGGACACACACAATTGAAAACCATATTATGTGCACAAAAGATCAGTGAGATTAAAAAATGACCAAACAAAGACAACAAAATATAACAAAAATACCATTGAGTTCATTTTGTTTGGGCCATCTATTGTGAAGAACAAGGCCTACCCCAAAGTGTGGTTTATATACCCAATGAAACTCCACTGAATAAAATGGATTTTTTTTTTTCCCCTTTGTAAGAGGTTATCAGCCGAAGCTAGTGTCTTGCTTAGAGATATCTCAGGACTGGAACCCCATCTGGCTTGAACTTGTGTAGATCTTGTGCATGTTGCCACCGTCTCTGTGAGTTTGTAAGTGTCTGGAAGACACTGTTTCCTTGAAGTTTTAGGCAAGTAGCCACAGCTGCTGTGTGTTCCTGATTGCATTGCCCATGTCATATCCAGAAGATGACATTTCGGAATGTTCCTAGGCATTGTCTGGCTCCTCTTTATCTTCACAATGTTTGGGGTTTTGTTTATTTATTTGTTGGTTGGTTGGTTTTGTTTTGGTTTTGGTTCTGAAGGTCATATAAATGTTGTGTTTACGGCTGAGCACCCAGCATTTGGACTGCAAAATGCAACCCACTTTGGCTGCATTTTAATGTGCTCTGAGCTTCTGCATTAATACACTCACTGTCTTAACTTACAACAGTCGCATGCTTCTCTGACCAAGCCTGAAAGCAACACTAATCGATGTCTATAAACATGCATATTTAGAAGGCAGTTTGACTACTCTGTTTAGCAAAATGTCAGTAGTACGCTCCTCTCTAGGGCCTATAATATCTCCAGACATACACTTTTACTAGCTTTACAATACCAGGCATGCGTTACCCACAGTAAGCCTAAAGCCCAAGGAGAGAGCCATTGGTTGCTCCAAAGCAGTCCTGCCATTATTGCGTGAGCAGGTATGTATTCCCTGGCAAGTCAGTAGTAAATGGTACAGGCTCCACAGCTGGGTAAGGTCACCAATGACTTGTCACCCCTACGGTCTGAATAACACCTTGTAGTACTGAGAATGCTAGCCAGCGGGGGGGAAACGTGCAGCTCAGTCCCAGCTTATTTCTCTGTATATTTTTACTCTATAGTGTCTTCAGCAATAAGTTTTTATCATCTAGTTCTGGTGTATAACCAAGAGCAATGGTAATAGTCTGTATTGTTTTGAGAGCTTCTGGGGACGCCCTGGCCAATAAGTCATAGAGCCACACTTGGCACTTCTAGGAACAGTGTTGTACACTCATGTAGGCTTCCACACTTCAAACTATATATTGTTTATTATTATTATTATTAATCTTTAGTTTATAAAGTAGTAAATTTCCATTTCTTTTTGTAAGTTCTTCTTTTTTGGTTGACCCAGCCTTTAGTGTTCTCTATATCTTCTCCTCCCCATTTGAATCGTTTCTCCCCTACTACCCTTCCCAACTCTCCTATGTATTTACTATTCATTCCAGGACCTTTTCTGCTGCCACTTCTCATGGTTCCTCTCTTGCTTTCTGGCCTCTATGGGTACCTTCTCCAACTGAACAAGGAAATATAAAAATTTAAAGTTAGAATATATATATATATGAAAGAAAACAAGACATTGTCTTTCTGGGACTACTTTAACTCATGCATATAATATTTTCCAGTTCTACCCATTTTCTGCAATTTTTTATTATTTTTTTCTGTTCTTTTTTTTTCTTTTCTTTTTGTGCTGAGTAGAATTCCATTTTGTACATGTACCACATTTTTTATTTTCCACTCATCAACTGATAGACATTTCCATTTCCTGGCTATTGTGAGTAGAACTGCAAGGAACATGGGTATGCAAACATCTCTGTCTTGGACATTAAAATCCTTTAGGTCTGTGCCCCGAGTGTTATGGCTGGGTCATATGGTAGTTCTATTTTTAGATGTTTGAGAAATCTCTACACTGATTTCCAAAGTAACTACACCAATTGCCATTCCTACCAATGGCGAATAAGGGTTCCTTTCCCCACAGCTTTGCCAGCAATTATTGTCATTTGATTTCTTGATAGCAGCCATTCTGACTGGGGCAGATGAAATCTCAAAGTAGTTTTAATTTGCAATTCTCTAATGGCTAAAGATGATAAACACTTTTTCAAATGTTCATTTGCATTTTTTTTTTTTTTTGAGAATTCTCTGTTCAGATCCATAGCCCTAACGGCTAAAGATGGTAAACACTTTTTCAAATGTTCATTTGCATTTCTTCTTTTGAGAATTCTCTGTTCAGATCCATAGCCCATTTTTAATTGCATTTTTTGTTTGTTTAGGATTTTTTTTTTGTTCTTTATATAATCTAGAAACTTCTTTTTTTCTACCTAACCTTTGTTTTTTCACTTTTTTTCTTTCATTGAAAATAGATTATTTTCTCATGCAACATATTCTGGTTATAGTTTCTCCTGTCTCTACTTCTCCCAATTCCTCCCCTTTCTCCAGATCACCTCCTTTTCTCTCTCCTATTAGAAAAGAACAGGCTTCTAGAAGATAGCAACCAAACACGACAAAATAAAATATAATAAGATGAAGCAAAAATTATCATATTGAAGTTGGAAACAGCAACCCAACATGAGGAGAAGAGTTTCAAGATCAGGTACAAGAGTCAGAGACCCAGTCATTCTTATGATCGAGAGTCCTGTAAAAATATTATCTAAATAATAATCCATGCTAGATGACAGTTGGAAGAGATTTTCCTCATTCTATAGGCTGTCTCACCAATCAGCTTTCATGAGGTTCCCTTTGTCAAGTGTTCTTATTTCCTAGGAGACTGAAATCCCATTGAAAAAGCTATGACATACGCCTGTATCTTACAGAATACTCTCTAGCTTTTTTTCTATTGGTTTTAGAATCTCACTTTTACATTTAAATATTTAGTACTCCTAGGGCTGAGTTTCCATGGAGGGAGATATGTACCTAGTTCCATTTTTCTACCTGTAAGTATTCAGTTTTCCCAGCACTATTTATTGAAGGTGCTGTTTTTCCTTCAATGTACATTCTTGGTATCTTTGTCACACATCAACTGGCTAGAGTTATGGACTTATATCTAGATTCTCTGTTTCAGCACATTGGTTTCCATGGCGTGTGTGTGTGTGTGTGTGTGTGTGTGTGTGTGTGTGTGTGTGTATGCATGTACCAACACCATGTTGTTTTTATTACTATGGCTTTATGGTTGCCCATTGTAATAATGTGAAGCCATGGAAAGTTACTGGTAATGTTTCAATGTTCCAATGTTACATGCTGTTAAATTATACATGAAAACAATCCTTTGTTCTCTCCTGCATAGTACTCCTTCCCCAAGAGCCAGGGGTAAAAAGGAAGAGCATGCAGAAACTATCTGCAGGACGATAAAGAAGAGGCGATTTTACATCTTACAATAATTGTAGTTACAGTAGCTGTCACGCAGGCTTAGCAATGATGGGGTATCTGTAAGGCCAGGCAGGACAGGTGCTTAAGCAAAGGTCAGTCCACAGGGAGCATCTAACCTGAGTCTCCTGCAGGGTTGTGCTGTAGTGGGTCTGCCTGTAGGTGGCAGTGTACCCTGATGCCTGATATTTCAGGACAGCCTCCACGGAGAGCTGACTCCCAGAACCCAGACTGGAGGCTCTGTCATACATCCGAGAGTCACACAGGAAGACATGCAGACTGGTCTAGGTCATAACATCGGAATGAGTGGCACTTCTTTTTTTCCAGCTTCTCACTGTCCCATCACAGACACGGGTACCCACCCCACTTTGTTACTCTGATCTGCTTTCCTGTTCTAGCTACCAACGCCTCGCGCCTTTCTCTGTCCTAAGAAGAAAACTGAATGCCACCTTTGAAGTGAGCAGCATTTCTGAGTTTCGGAGGTGAGTTCCGTTCTCCAAAGCACAACTTCATTTCATGTACTCCAGTGAGTGCTTAAGAGATGCCCATGGGCCACTCAGTTCATACTTAACACTTATGTAACGTGTTTGTTTTCTGGAGCACAGAGATTAGGAATGTTTGTCTTATGTGTTCTATTACTGTTTATACTTTACATCCACTGGCAGGAGCCTTGTGAACAACTGGAAGCCAATGACTTTCTTACTTTTAAGTTCAGCTATATTTCAGGGTAGACTGAAGTATATTATTCATGAAAACAATCCTTTGTTCTCTACCATATAGTACTCTTTCCTCAAGAGCCAAGGGCACCAAGGAAGAACATGCAGAAACTCTCTGCAAGATGATAAAGAAGAGGCAACTTTGTGTCTTAAAAAATAGTATTTACTGTAACTGTCACAGCAGGCTTAGCAATGACAGGCTATCTGAAAGGTCAGGAAGGACAGGTGCCATTATCACTGATTAAATTACTATCTAAAGCAATGAAAAAGATGACCCTCAGTTTGCTTGTCTTGTTTAAACAGACTATCTTAGTCTCACTTCCAATAACAACCTCTACCCTATTTTAAATGATAAGTTTAAAAATTACCATGTATTCACAGCCACTGTTTCATAACAAACAACTATATGTAGAGCTTGGGAAATGAGTGCATTGAGAGCAAGCTGCTTTGAACATTTTTTGCACTGATATTGGTAGAATATGAGACTGTACTTCACTTCTGCATGGTACTTAGAAGATTAGTTGTGGGCCTGAACGGGAATATCTTAGGTAGGGTTTTATTGCTGTAAAGTGACACCATGACCATGGCAACCCATATAAAGGAAAACATTTGGACAGGGCTGGCTTACGGCTGAGAGCTTTAGTCCATCATTGTTATGGCGGGAAGCATGGCAGCACACAGGCAGACATGGTGCTGGAGAGGTAGCTGAGAGTTCTATATCCAGATTTACAGGCAGCGGGAAGAGAGAGCAACACTGGGCCTGGCTCGAGCATTTGAAATCTCAAAGCCCAACCCCAGTAACCCATTTACTCCAACAAGGCCACACTTACTCCAACAAGACTACACCTCCTAATAGTGCCACTCCTTATGAACCAATGGGAGCCATTTTCATTTAAACCATCATGGACAGTAAATAAATCATTAGTTACTAATAACTGATGCTACCCCAGGGAAGGTTTCCAGCCAACCAGTTCTCAGGGCTCGGAGTACAGTAGTTCCAGTCCTGGTTTCTACGTTATTCTTTCTGAGTAAATAAGGAGGAATGGGCCAATAGGGGCCTACTACAGACAGAAAATGGTGGCCAAAAGAACTGGTGACATCTGAGAGGATCCAGGAAGTAAAGGAGGAATATGGATGGTCTGGAACCGGGAGGCCGTGAGGTCATGGAGTGTGACTGAGAGCAAGTGTGATGGGGTTCTGGTTCTGGTTTGGAAGAAGGACACCAGGAAACAAGAGACTATCCCAGTCCCTAGATGGAGTCAGAGTAACAAGGCAGGAATCTGGGAAGGTAGCATTCCCACACAGCATGAGCCCTCTGCAGTATTATCAAATACCCGTAAAGCTCAAGCCCAGGTATGTTAAAGTCCCAGCTGGAAGGACTTGACGTGTGTGAGTCTCTGTGGGCCTGCCAAGAGGAGGGGGCACTTGCTCTCCCAGGCAGAACTGTGCATCAGTAGCGGGGACCAGGTGAGTGTAAGCTGCAGGTGGACAGCAAGAGGCCCCATTCGTGGGGACAGGGGTATGTAGAAGAGGCGCACTGGGACATCTCCAGCTCCTCCTGTCTTGCTCTGCTAGTAGGCCGCAGGAGAACTGAATGGCACATCGGTATTATGAAGCATGACTGGAATTCTTCTTTCTTTGATTCTCCTCTTCCATTTTTGCTTTCATTCACATTAAGGATTAAACCCAGAGCTAGGCCAGTACTCCACCATTGAGCCATAACCTCGGCCCTGGCACTTGTTGTCAATTTCCCAGTCTAAGTACCTTGGGCCTGGCAGGGTGTAGCTTTCTGCCACTCCTAGCTGGATCATCACAGGTCCCTTGAGGCTTAGGTATAGGCTGTGAGGTACCTGGTATGGGCCACAGGCTACTATGTGCTTTCAACCAGTATGAGCTATTTGGAAAACCTGTCCATGAAGACCACTGAGAGCTGTGAATTTATGAAGAGCTAATACGTCTTCCTGAGTGCCAGTTCCAGTGAGGAATTCCCTTAATTTCTCTTCCTTTGTTTACAGTCACCCTCACAACTTGCTTCCTGGTATTTTCAGTGTGTTTTTCTTGGTCCTTTATGGATTTTTGGTGAGTAAAAGCAGATGTGTAGATTGTCATGAGAAAAAGAAACCAGCTTGTATTTTTCTGGAAGAAGATATCCAACCTGGCCACCAGCTGTATGCAGTCGTCATTGACACTGGCTTCCGGTCACCTGCCAAATTTACCTCAAAGGTAACATGAGCTCCTAGCAAGGCCTTTCGTGAGGTCTAAGAGGTGGGTGGCCTGATAGGCACAAGAAGTGACAAGGAGATGGACTGGCTGCCCTGTCAATCACCTGTGACCACTGTCCCATTGTAATTTTGGGTGTGATGTTTATCTACCTTTCCCCTGTCCTCCTGCATATTTGTAAGGGCAAAGGGCAGGAGCCTCACCTCCTGGCCCCTGGACTCTCCTTCCCTCTTTCTGCCTTCACAGTGGAAAACAGTTTCAGAGTTGGTTTTCTTCTGAATGGGTCTCCGAGATTTTGAGAACTGTGCTATACTCCTCTGAGTTAACATTATGTAACCCCAGCTGGCCTGAAACGTGCTATGTAGACCAGGCTGGCCTCGAACACAGTGTTGGTGTTCGTGTTGGTGTTAAAGGCATGTCACCATACCCAGCCACCACACTATCCAATTTACTACAGAAGAAAAAAGAAAGAAAGAAACTAAGAGAGAACGAGATTAAAGCTAACGAAATCAACTGTAATTTCAGAAAGTTGTCTTGTGGAACAGGAATGATTGATTCTAAAGTTCATGTGGAAGGGAATACTAGCTGAGTGGAGGCTAAGGATAGCCCTAACAGTCTGAACGAGAACAGGGGTGACACCCCCCCCAGAAAACCGGGCAAGAGCCGTCACAGGGCAGAGTCTTATGGGGTTGGCTAGAAAACTGACAGAACAGCTAGACACCTAGAAATGACCCAGGTGTGTGCCAAGGTCTTGAGGCCAGAGAGGATATTCAGCCAAATGCCTCCAAGTAGCCACAGTCTTGCAAAAGGAAGCAATATAAAACCTTTAATTGACGTTAGATACACATACAAAAATAATAATTACAGAAGTCTAAAAGAAGAGAGATAATTAAAAAAAAAAAAAAAGTTCAGTAACTACCCAAAGAAAACAATTACTTTGGATGAGGACAGGATTTCAAAGACAAGAGATTAATATTTTTAAATGAAAGATTAAAATTAAACCCCACCAAAGCTGAAGATTTCTGTGCGACAGATAGCAGGAAGAGTGACAAGCATAGACCAGTGTGCTTCCCCAGATTGCTCCCTATGGACATGGGTATCCCACCCACCAGCCCTGGTGCAACACTCCTGTGTCCTGAGGCCTCCTCCAAAGTCCGGCCACTATGCCCCAGGGTAGGAGATACTGCCCTCCATGGAGTTCTCCTACCCTACTGAGGAAGGCAAGTGCAGAGGAATCCCACAGGGAATCTCACTATTCCAGAAAAAGTCTGTGAAGAACTGGCTAGTCAAGGAGCCGAAGGGTGTCAGCCCTGGTCTGTGAGGACTCTGCAAGCCATGCAGGCCCCCCCAGCCCCTGGGCTCAGTGCTGGGACCTGCCAGTAGGGAGCTGGGATGAGGCAAGGAAACACCCCATACCCTCTGTGATGCATCCTCAGCTTTCCTGTCTTTGTCTGTTTTAAGGTTTTCATTGTTTTACATGGTAAAAATGGAGTCTCCGAAACCAAAGAACTCTGCTGTCCAGAGAAGCACTTATTTGGAAGGAATTCCAGGCACACCTTTATAATGAGGTAGTCCCTTAAGCACATGCTTTGGGAAAGGGGGCTGGTCAGAATGGGGTATCGCAGAGTCGCTGTATAGAGAACATTGGCTTTCTGAACATCATGCCTAAGCTCAAGCTTGATGATGAAGCATAAAAAGAGTAATGATCACTGGTTCTCATACTTAAAATTTTAGGTCTCACTATGTAACCACAGCACGTCTAAAATTCACTATGTAGACCAGGCTGGCCTTGGACTTGCAACTAACCTCCTGCCTCTGCTGTCTGGGGGATAGAACTACAAGCATGCCTAACATGAAATATTTCCATTCCTTGGGTTAGGCTAACATGGATTGCTTACATGGTGGCAAGGGGATGAAGGCAGAAAAAAATAGAGGCTTACGAAGCTTGTGTATTAGAATAAGTGTTTTGTTTTGTTTTTTCAATGTCACGGTAAGAGAGATGATTTATCAACGTAGAAGTTAAGTACCTGACATTCTTAGAAAACATGAAAGTGTTGGTCAGTTTTTCTCATAAAAATATTATAATTTATATATAATATTTATTGTCAATAATTTATTAAAATAGTTATTATTTTGGAGCATGTTTTTATGAAGACAGTAAAGATCAACTTCAGAATAACTCACATCAGACACACACAGATGGAAACCTGAGCAACTTGCTTTAAGGAAGTTATAGCCATTCCCTTTTCAAGATGTATGATCCAGGCCGAACAGTGGATCCCAGAATCAGCAGAGAGCACTGGACCCTGGACCCATTTCATTGTTCTTTGACATCCAAGCCAAAGATAAAGCATGAGTTACTACTGAGGTGCAACACAAGATTATCTGCCAGTAATAATAAAGTGGAAAAAATTGCTGTAACAACACAGTATGATTCAAGTTCAAAACTTAGGAATTATTTATTTCTAGGATTTTCCATTGGTGTTTTTTATTTGTGCTTGATAACGGAAACCACGATAAGTGCAGTGATGATAAAAGGGGCATTACGGTGGATCCTGAAGACCTGTGTGTCCCCACCAGTCACAATGCCCATTGGAACCCACCATCCCTAAGGGCCGTGTTAGAGTTGGTGAGGTTTTTACAGGCACGAAATACAAATCCCTGATAAGACATTTCTCTGTGTCATTAGCACTGCTAACCAACTGGGTCCGCTCCAGAAGATCCACCTCTGGCACGACAGCAGCGGGCCTTCCCCAAGCTGGTTCATCAGCCACGTGATGGTAAAGGAGCTACGCTCAGGACAAGCTTGGTTCTTCTCTGCTCAGTGCTGGCTGGCTCTGAGCATAGGTGACAGCAGTGTGCAGCGAGAGCTCTTCCGCCTGAGCCATGGGCTTGGTTTCTACAAGGTAGGCCCTATGCAGCGAACCTGTGACAAACCAGAATCGCCAGTATTATTTGATGCCCATTTCTGCTTCTCTTTCTAAAGTCGTGACTTGAACTTTTCCAAAGTTAAATTGTTAACTGTCAGGATACCCATGTTGAGTGACTTCTCTGGGAGAGAATGTGAACGAAAGTCTATTCACCCAGATAGGGACTGACAACACACCACAGAAATGGCTCCATCCAAATCTGTCTTGGTCAGCCAGTTGGTTTATGGGTTACTTACAAGGATGTGGGTGACTCCACAGAAGCCACAGCACCAAAAATCACACCCAGCATGGGTGGTGACTCACTAAAGCGGCAATCCTGCAGCTCTTCGCAGCTTGCCAGCAGCCCCACCAGTAAATCCTCTCCCTAGCAAGCATTTGCTGTTTTTCTAACTTTGAGAGGATGTTGGTGAAATCTCTTGTTTCCTGAGCTCCCTGTGTCTGAGCACCACCCTTCTCCTCCAGGAGGGGGCATTTCAGTTCAAAGGAGATTAACTGCAGAGCGCCATCCCCCAGCTATGCAGCCAGCATGCATTACAGCCTTTGCCACTTAGCAGTCCTTACAGGGATGCAGTTCTTCTCTGATCTGCATCAATAATAAGCTTCGAGAGCTTCTGGCTGCTGGCGATCTGCCGTTTCCAAGAGGACCCACATTAAAGACTTGTTGTTAACTTACTCACGTGCCATAAACAATTCCATTGGCAGAGATTACAGACGTGTCATGACTGCAGTGTCAGATGGTAGATAAGTGTGAATCCGTGACAAAACTGTCCATGAGCTCAAGAAACAAGTAGGAAGTTGTGTTCTCTGAGTATTCACATTTCCTCCCTGCTGATGGGCATCGGCCCATTTGAAAACCTTCACGCTTTATATTCAATGTTTTAGAATAAATCTCTTCCTGAACTTTGCTTAAATAACTTAAAGGCCATACAATGGCCCCCGTGCACTGCTATTTGCTGAAGTAACCTATTACACAGCCACCATTTTCCTTCCTTTATTTCCATGACAGCGAATGTCACAAGAAATACTTCTTTGAGACTTGTGTTTTCTGAAGAAAGATTTCCTTTTTTTTTTTTTTTTTTTTGATTTTCATAACTTTTATTTATTTGCCTTGTGCCCATGTGTGCGCACATGTCACAGGCCAGGTGTAGAGGAACTGGTTCTCTCCTTCCACCGAGTGGGTTCTGGGGATTGGTCTCAGACCATCAGGCTGGGCAGCAAGCAAGATACCCTCTGAGCTATCTTATTAACCTGGCATTTCCTGGGCACTGGGTCTTGTTCTTTCCATCGTCACTGTAGTGAGGAGTACCTGGCACTGCCAATTTAGCACAAAACATAGCTGATATGAATTTGAAACAATAGTTTCCAAACAGCCATAGTACATAGAAAAATTTCAGGACTTTAAATGAATAGTCCTACTTAACTGCAGCTTCCCTTGGGTAATAATCTCCATGGTTGCTTCTCTAGCTATTGTGCTTGAGAACCATAGGTGAGAAACCTAATTTTATTAATTTAGTCATCTATGAGCCCATACGGCTGGGTCCCCAGAATCAGTGGTTGCCTGGGAATTTACATGTAAACAATATATCATCAGTCTATTAAACCTGTTTGCTGCTGGTACTTGTTGATTATCATGATTATATTTATAATATCAGTTCTGTTCATAAATAGTTCTTTTCTAGAATGCGTAACACCAAAAATTATTTAAGTTGCATGAAAATTTTAAAAGTCAGTGAAATTCCACTATTCACCTGCTGAGCAGTAGACTGTGTAAGGCTGCTGAGTAGAAGACAGCTCAGTCTCAACTCTCAGTGCAGCCAGGGCTGGTACTCAGCTAAAATGTGACTGTGTTTCTGTGGAAAGTGCCGAGAAAAGGGATATTTAGAAAGCCTTTTGGGATCAGAAAGGAAAGACATGGTGGTAAGGCCAAGAGAGGAGGTCTACGAGAGCTAGCATGAAAGAAGCAGAGAACTAGAGTTGGTACAAAAACTGCAAAAGCATCAGCAGGAGGTCGGACTGGGTCAGAGTCTCAGTGATGAAAGTGTGATACAAGGAGATACTGCTGCAGAGGTGGTGGGGAGGGAAGGAAGGAGGCAGACCAAGTTACCATGAGAGGCATCCACCTGCACCAAACCAGTAGCCAGGAAATGTCCAGCTTTCGGCCAAGAGAAAAAGCCAAGAAACTTTGGAGTCTTATTCTTATTTTACTCTGCTCTCGTGTGTCTGAAACAAACAAACAAACAAACAAACTCGTCATTTCTGTTTCAGCTTTTCTATTCAAAGTTCACAGAGTACCTGGAGGATTTCCACATCTGGTTCTCACTGTACAGCCAACCCGCCTCCAGCAGCTACCTGCACACACAGCGGCTTGCTGTGTCCTTCTGCCTGCTGTGTGTCTACTCGTGCCTCACTGCCCTGATCACTGTGACAGGCCATGAACAGGTGGGAGGCAGCAATTTTCCCGAAGTAGCTTACTTATCTTCGTCATGCAGATTGTTCTTCTTTTAACAAGCAAAACTCAGAGCTCCTGGAGAAGGGCTTAAGCTCGGGGGAGCAGTCTAGCAGTGTGTCAAGTGGACCAGTAGGTAATAAGGCTGGAATCACAGGCTGGGAGGGTCTACAAGTCCTCAATAGGCCTTTATGTGGTGAAAGATAGAATCACACTTAAAGATACACAGAATTTTTAAATATAAAAATATGTTGGTTGAACTTGTAAACAGCCGATGATGAAGAAATATCATCAAGTGATAAGGAGGGGAGCTCAGCTTCCCTGGGAAAATCCAGTGGTCTGATCCAGGTTGTCATCTCCTCCTCTGCTGGGGGAATACTGAAGCTCTTGGCACCTTTTGAGTGGGAGGGACTGTAGGACTTAGAAAGCTGAGCACAGGTCTTGTGGGTGCTCAGGGAGCATTTGGTCTGTTCACAAGGATGTGTCTAGGAGGAAAAGCACATTTTGTCTTGATCAACCCCCATGGTGAAGGCAAGGCTTCTGGGATAAAGAGCTCTAACCAAACAGAATCCATACTCATATTGGATACACTTGGAACTCTGTGTGTTGGACTCATGGGACATAACTGCATGTAACTGAACTGTTGCAGCGCCTCCTGAATGTGGGTCCTACTGATATAACTCCGGAATCCTTCAGTCTGGCTCTCCTGTGCACCCTCCTGGCCTGTCCAGTTGCACAGCTCCTGTCGCTGCTCTTCAGGTTCAGCAAGGTACTTCAGAGGTGTGGCTCTGTGCTCCTGAGAAGAACCCCAATGTGGAGTGCCAGTACCAACCAACCTCTTTACTTCACAGGAAGCCAGAGGGCATCTACGGGCTGCGCCACAGTGGCCTCTCAGAGGAGTGAAGACAGAGGCATCTCAGGGTACGGTGAACTGAAAACAGAAGCTGTGCTGGTGCCTGGTCCTTAGAGGCCAGTCTCTGAAGTAGGCTGTATATGCCCTGCTTTCATATGAGGATGGAAACATCAAAAGTCCTCCTTTCAGCCCTGCCTCATCTCTCAGGCTCGCTCTGGTGGAGACATCGTCTCCAGTAGGCCCACAGCTGCCCCTAGTTCAGAGTCATACATTTGCCTTTTTTTCTATTTTCCTATCAGCTCCTGATCCCAATGAGAGACCAAATTCAAGGCAGCCCTCCCAGGTAAGTGACATGACATGCAGCTGCAAATTCTATAGCATAAGGTTAAGGTTTCTTAGTTAAGGTTTAATTGGGACTGGCTTACAGTTCAGAGATTTAGTCCATTATTGCCATGGCAGGAAGCATGGAGTCATGCAGGCAGACATGGTGCTGGAGAGGTAGCTGAAAGTTTTACATCTGGATCTACAGACAGCAGGAAGAGAGTGAGACACACTCGGCCTGGCTTGAGCTTCCAAGACCTCAAAGATCACCCCTATTGACACACTTCCTCCAAAAACACCACACCTACTCCTAAAAGACCATACCTCCCAATAGTGTCACTCCCTGTGAGCCTATGGGGCCATGTTCATTCAAACTACCACAGATGCTAAAAACTAGGTTTCTGTAGCATCTTCCTGTGGCTGTGGGCTGGCCATATTTGGATCTAGTGAATAGCTAAGGCTCATCCTCCAAAGAGTGTAGGCCATTTCCCGGAGAAAGGGAGGGGTCATAGCTAGGTAGGGCTAGGAAGGGCACACAGCAGCATCTGGAAAGTCCTGTGGAAAGGCCCAGTGAGATTCTGGTGGGCCTTTGGAAGAGCAGGAGGAGAGGCTGTGGGGCTGCCTGGCTGCAGACAGGGCTTGGAGGGGCAAGGTCCCTATGGACCTGGAACTCTATGCAAGTAAGGGACAGTTTCTAATGTTATCATTGTGGTTGCATTGCACTGGGATTTTGCTTTTGGAATCTGTGTGCTGCTGCCTTTGGGTTGCTGGGGACCTTAGGTTGTTCTCTGGTGGTACATCAGTGTGGGCTTCCCTGATTCCCACACTTTCCAGGCAGTGGCTTAAGCTGCTCCACAGCTCAGAGCCCCTGTTCCAAGCAAGGCGCCCTCAGGCCCCACTTGCTCAGCATGCCCTATGAACTCACCCCTAAGAACTAGGCCTCACCTTCCAACCTTTCTTCCTCTGGTGGGTTTTACAGTCTATCAACCTGACTGACTAGAGCTGCCAGGAGGCCACCAGCACTGGCCCCATGGTATGAAGAGGGAATGGGAGGTTTGGTACAAAGGAACTGGGCCCAGAAGCAGAAAATGACATTCTTGTAAAGCCACCTGAGGCCCACGCTTGACCAGGCTCCCATCTGACCATGCCTGTCCTCAGAGTTTGCTGCAGTGGTCACTAGTGTTTCAGACACAGCAGGAAAACAGGCATTGACTTGGCAATTTTAGCATCCTACATCAGACATTCTCTCCGGGACTGACCAAGCTTGGAGGATGGCAGCCATTAGGAGTGGTGTGGTCTGCTCACCCTTTCTGTCGGAGGCCTGCAGGCATAAAGAGCTGGCTTGGAGAGAGAAGAGCGGCCACTATCCTCCCAGTTCTCAAGGTAACATTACCCTACAGCTGTATTGTGTAACCCCTGCTCCTGCTAATAAAACAGTGGTCTGTGACTACCTAGAGAACCAGAGCAAGCAGAATGTAATTGGTCCAAATGACACTAAGCATTCTGGGCTCCTCTAAAATCCAAGCATGGGTACAACCACATCTACCTAAAACCATAGCATCTGGCTGCAGTTCAATCCTAATGGATCTGGTTTAAAATCTGGGCAATCCAATCATTTCAAAAGTCAGTATGGTGACCCTACACTTTAAATATACCGAAAGCCAAAGCTCCACTTTTTTTTTTCTATGCAAAATAGAGTAAATAGCTCCAGCTTCAAATTACAGCAAGTGCTCACCCAGCCAGAAGAGAGGAGATAATAGGGAAGGCTGTGCCAGTGAAGTCAGGGTAACTCCCACTGGAACCTGGGTCCCAGGAACTGACGTCATCAGGTCTGATCACTGGGAATTGAAGGGCCTTCTGAACCTGGCTTAGCAGGAATGGAGGACAGGAGCATCAATGTATAACTTCAGGGCTCTGAGGCCACACGATGTGTGTGGTCAACAGTCTTTTGGCAGAAGATGGGCACAGCTATGTCGACAATGGTCAGCAAAGTCTATGTGCTCAGCTGACCAAAGCTGTGCCTGCCTTACAGTACGCACGAGGAGAGAAGGGAAAAGGTCATGTCTATTTGTAAATGTGCACTCCAATAGACAAGCTTATAGTGGCAGCACCAGTATTGGCAGGCTGTCTCAAGACTCCGGGCTAGATACGCTGGGTAGAAAGATAGGCTTCAAAGCCAGAACTCAGAAGGGAGAAGTTCACTGTGGAGTATGCAGAGAAATTACAATTCAAGATGACCCAGCTCTATCAGCCAGCCCTACATTCCTCATTTCTCACTGCTACCCCCACCCCCCACTCTTCAGGCAAAGAATAATATCCCAGTTCAAAGATGCTCAGCAAACAAGAGGAACTTCCTCTTTGCCCATTTGTTCTATTCAGACTTTCAAGTAACTGATTGAATGAAGCCCACCCACATGGGGAGGGCTAGCTGCTTTGCTTAGCCCACTGATTCAAAGGTTATTGTCCTCTCTGGATGGTCCTTACAGATACAACTCAGATAATGTGTGACCATATGCCTGGTACCCTGTGACCCAACCAAGGTCTTTAACCTGATGGTCTCCATCTTGCTCTTCCTCAGCTCCCAGCAGTGGTTTCGAAGGACTTGGGCCCCAACAGTCAAGGGTCTTCCTGATATGGCCAAGCTCTGTGGCCTGGACCATCTGTGGGTCTGCTTCCCTGGCCTGTGGTTTGGGGACAGGATTCCTAGGCTATAGGTGAGTAGTTGAGGTTTTTAGATATCCTCAGGTGCTGGATAGATGTCTAGGCTCTGTGAAGAGGCGCGTGTGTTTCAGGGAACTCATGTGTAGTCACCAACATCACTATTTTCTCCCTTACTTCATCCCTTCTGAAGGTGAATATAGTCATATGCAAACCCCAATGGGTCACTTCAACAGAAGAGGCTCTATCTAGACAGAGTCCTGGGTACCAAACAAGAAACTTTGGGGGAGGCACCAAAGATGGAGGCATTCTGGCACTAAGAGGAAAATCCCTGATGCTGGCCAAAGTCAACCACTTTTTGTCTGGTATTACTGGGGGAAAAAAGTACTGTTAAGTTGGGCTATCATGCATACATCATAGATCCTAGCCAGTCCTTCCTATATGCCCCTCTTCATCTGATTCCTGTATGGGTTACCACCAGAGACTGGAAGCCGTCCCTTGCAGCTCTGGAGAAGCCCACACCATGTTCCTAACCCATGAGGAGGGTAGCCACCCAAGGCCCTTTCTTTCTGAAACTGTCTCTTTTCCCAACTACAACCCTGACCATTGCGTGAGGACAGGACAGGCACTAGAAGTTTCTACATACCTCAGTTTGCTTATCTGCAAAAGAGGGACACTGGGCGTGCTTAATCCAGAGGCCTGGGGGTGAAACATGGAGTCTGCACAGCACCACCACCTACATTTCCCAGCTCCTGTGCTCTGACCTGTCTTCGGTTCAGGCTCTCTTACTCTTAGAGCTGGGAAGTTTCAGGGAAGTTGGTGTTCCCTCAGCAGGAAGGACTCTGCTTGGATGTGTCAACAGACCTGGCACCCATCCCACAGTCCCTCCTCAAGCACACCACCTGTCTCCCAGCAGGAAAGGCTTAATTGTCCTCTGACTGTAACTCTGTCTTCATGGGTAGCTTACTCCCAGGAAGGTGGTGACAGACCCCCTCTTCTGGGCAGGTTTGTACCAGCGCAGTGTATGTGGTGGCTGCACCTGCTGTCTCTCTCTCTGGTCTGCTGTGCATTCATCACCCAGCCACTCATGGTAAGACACTCCCCTGTGGTGGAGGTGCCTTCGTCAACAAGGGACAAGGGAGGAGCAGGACCAGTGGCTACTGCAGTTTTTTGGTAGGGGGAGCCTTCTCTTTATACTTTCATTTAGATGTGATAAGAAAATCTGGGAGTCAGGCCCTGGGGTAAGCTGGCACTCAGAATTCTTATCTTTAAAATTCCCAAAAGAGATGAACCACTTTGCCTCTATTTTCAGCTTATGAATCTGTTTCCTAGAGGCCCCAAGTAAATCTCTTGGTGAAGGCCACACCTGGTGGCTAGGTGCTGGGGATCTTGGGGTAATGGCTTCTAGTATCTATTTTGAAGTGAGATGCAGTCAGCTGGCAGTGCATAACCAGCCAGGTGGCACCTCTCTTCCAGATCTGTTTGGCAGCACTGGCCTTTGCGTGGAGAAGAAAACATGACAGCCAGTTTTTTAAGGAGTCTTTACGAGATGCAACGAAGGATCTGGACTTGGAACTGGAAGAGCGTTCCAGAACCCACATTCCTCTTTCTCTAAGCTCCTATAGTCCTGACAGTGCTGAGGAGGCTGAAAGGGTGAGCAGGAAGCAGGGTGTGGGGAGGAGAGGCTCAGAACTGTTCTGTTCCCTCCATGAAGAATTGCTTATGCTTCTTTCCTTACCTTTACCCCAAACCCAGTGAAATCAGAGCCACAAGGAAATGAATGCATTTGAAAAAGTAGAGGCTAATGAAAAATATAATTTCTGGCCACAGTTTCAGAGAACTTCTAGATATTTGCTCTTCAATGCATGCACCGAAAATGTATAGCTTCCCTCTCTCCTTCCCTTCCACACAGACATTAGCCATCTCTGCATCCCAAGTGTAGGCCTGTTTCATGCCTTCTTTGACTCCTTCAACACCATAGCTTCTGAGAAACTTCACTGCTCTACTCTCCACACACCTGCGGGCTCCCAGCTTCCCTCCCTTCCCCCAAGGTGCCCTTCCTCTGTCAGCACCAGCAGCTGGGTCCAGCCCTGGGGCAATCATCAAGGTTCCCTTTCCAGCTAGTCTGATCTCAGGACTGAGAGGCTTTTGAGCAACTGAGTGCCATTCAGCCTTGACTCTCCCAACCTGTGCCTGCTGTTGCCATGAAGGTGTGATGCTGCACCTGCTGAGTCCCCTAGGCACCCGGCCACAGAGCATAGTCCTAAGGACACAAGGCATATTTGAACCACAACCCAACCTCCAGGGTTTACTTTACAGACCTTGCTCTGTATTTCTCAGAAGCCCAGAAGCTCTGGGAGGAAGGACTAAGGGCCCAAGGGTTTCTCCCTGAATGTGCCTAGAATAGGTAAGCAGAAGAGTGAGAAATGAATGGGGTATCATTTCCCATGAGTTTGGCTCTTAGCTACCCTGCAAATAAACACATGTAGCTACAACATGGAAGTAATGATGCTTTTATTACACAAGGCAAACAAAGGTCGTTTCATGCTAAAACAAACTGCTTAAAATCAGTCTTTGAAGGTCGCTAGCAGGAACTATTATGCAAATACTGAAGGAGTTACCCCTGTGATTGGACCACAGCGAACACGCCTCTCATGTGAAGGGATGCTTTCTAACAGCCCAGATGCAATCCTTGCCAAAGGAGCTGGCCTGGGACATGAGCAGAGTTTTCAAGTGTGTCTGCTCCATCTCCCCTTGCCTCCCCAACAACACAGTGTGTGTTAACTGCACAAAGTCCCTCTTTGTCCCCTGAATGCAATACAGAGAGCAGTGATGACAGCTCTCGGGTCGGCAAGGACACGAAAGGGCCCCCTCTCTCTAGTGCTGACCCCAGTATCATGGTGCTCTTTCTCTCTCCCTCTCACAGGTCTTAGCTGCCCGAAAACGAGAACGCCACCTGCGCTGGGCTCAGCCACCATCTAGGGCCAAGTTTAGAGTGACCAGGGAGAGACTGAGGAGAGAGAGGTGTCTGCAGGCAGCCCTGAGGTGGGTGCAGGCAGGAATACAATAGGCTTTCTCTTTTTATTATTTTTAAAATAATTTTTATGTATTACAATTTATTCACTTTGTATCCCAGCTGTAGCCCCCACCCTTAACCCCTCCCAATCCTACCCTCTCTTCCTCCCTCATCTCCTCCCCTGCCCCTGCCACAGTCCACTGATAGGGGAGGTCTTCCTCCCCTTCCATCTGACCCTAGCCTATCAGGTCTCATCAGGACTGTTTTTCACAGTCTTCCTCTGTGGTCTGGTAAGGCTGACACCCCCCACCCCATCCCCAAACACACATACACTCAGGGGAAGGTGATCAAAGAGCCAACCACTGAGTTCAGAGACAACCCCTATTCCCCTTACTAAGAAGCCCATTTGGAGACTGAGCTGCCACGGGCTACATCTGTGCAGGGGTTCTAGGTTATCTCCATGAATGGTCCTTGGTTGGAGTATCAGTCTCAGAAAAGACCACTGGGCGCAGATTTTTTGGTTCTGTTGCTCTCCTGCGGAGTTCCAGACCTTTCCAGGTCTTTCTACCTCCCTCCCCCTTTTTGTTTTTATAAGATTCCCTGCACTCTGACAATGGGCTTTCTTTGGCCCTGCCTTCTCTTTAGAGGGAACTATAGGGATCACAAGCTGCACTTGAGAAAAGTCTTTCCCGTGTCTCAGCTGTGCCAGAGCACATGGGACAGAGACACTGAACAGGACAAAGGAATTGTTTTGCCACCTGCTGCAATCAGTGGCCCAGAGCTCTGCACCTCAGCTTCCCCAGCCGTGCAGACTCAAATGCATCACATTGAATCCCCTTACACCATACTGCTCAGTTCTAGATGTGGTATTCTGCTCATCCAGTTGGATACACAGGGCTATGAAAACCCAAGAAGCAAATGTCTACACCTCTTTGTAGATGCTGACTGAGCCCAGGGACTGGTATTTGAAAAGAACTCAACATTACAGTTTACGCAGATACATTCTTGGGATCAACACAAACTCCACTTCAAAATGTTAGACAGAACATGCAATTTAGTAGCTATGATACTGAGACAAAGCTCTCCAAATTGGACTTCAGCCATGGTTCTTTCTATCAGCAGTACTCATTCCCTGCCCCATCTCTGAGAGGGCACTAACGGCAGTTCCTGGGAGGAACCTTCCAGTCAATGCCTGCCTCCCAGTTCTGAATTCTAGATTCCAGACTTCTTGAGTCTCTCAAGAATGTAGAAGGTCCAAATATTTTTCCCACAATGACGTTGAAGTGTGTAATGTCACCTCTAGTTAGTCATCTTTCTTTAAAAATCTTTCTTAGTCCCCACAGATGGCCAGCTCCCTTAATAAAGAGCACATCTTGAAACAGATCTTTTCCAAAGCAGAGGGCCATGACATTATTATGATGTCACATTGAAAGTGAGTGAAAAAAAAATTCTAGGAAGCCAAGGCTCTGACAAAAACTTTTAAACTTGTTCAGTCTCCTCATAAAACCAGAGTAGTTAAATTACCCACATCAAACCCACCAAAACATGCATTACAGGCCTAAGTAACACACACACACATACACACATACACGCATTTATACCTCAAAATCACACAGGAACGGTAAGCACTGTAGAGCCAGTACCCTGAGCACTGCACTCTGGACAGTGCAGGACATATAGGTGTCCGAACATCTGAGAACAGGGGCATCAGGAGCTCCTGTGGAGTCAGTCACCAGGGACTAGGCACCCCCAATTCACAGGTGCATGTAATGTCTGGAACACTGGGTAGCTGATGCCCACAGATCTTGGTGAGCTGAGCAGAGCAAAGCTGAGAAATCCAGCCCCCCCAGAACAAAACCTTGAGCGAGCTTCAGGCAGAGTCCACACCAAGGTAGACACCCGAGAACACAGCCAGACGCCGCAGGTTCAGAAGGGACAAGGCTAACTCTCTTTGCAGCTGTCATTGATGAAATCCTTGGAAAATCTCACAAAAATAAAATAAAATAAATCGCTGGCAGTAAGGGAATTGAGTAAAGTGGCCAATAGTAAAATTAAGCATCAAGAGTCGTCCTAACTTACAAAGGCCAGGTAAGGTGTAACACAAAGACAAGATGCTGTGGTGTAATCTTAATGATAAATGCATAGAACAGTCAGGAAAGTTAAGAGACAATTCTGAAAGATTCAAATGTAGACTCAGTGGGGACACAGCAGTGCCTCCTGGCATCATCCATGGAGCACTGGGGTCATCCTTCAGATTAATGGCTCGCTGTGGGATAGGGCAGACAAGCAATTGTATGGTTTTCTAATTTTGTCATTGCTACTGTCCTTGAAAAGAACTGTTTAGACTGTGAGAGAAAGGAAATGTGGATTCTTGCTCAAAAATACCAAAATCCTATAGTCTTCAACATGAATTAAAAGGCATAAGGATGAAATAACAGAGTTGGGTTTTTGTTTTGTTTTGTTTTGTTTTGTTTAAGAAAAAGTGCTATTTTTCTAGGTGTGTCCATTCACAAAACAACCAGAAACAACCTGGCTCTTGGTTTGAGGTCTGTGACAGAAAATGTTCATGTGAGCTCAGATCACTTCCTAACCAGGAAAGCAATGAGAATAAGCAGCCATTGGAAGAGGCCCATGTCCTCTTCCAAAGATGGGGCAGGTTGGCATTAAATCGAAGGCAGTACCCATATGAACTGAAGCTCCTGAAAATAGTTAATGCTGCCAGTTTAGAGTGGCACCAAACCATGAGATAATCATAAAGCAGCTTTCTTAAACATTAGGAAAAGAAATTACCCATCCCGCCTCCCCTAATTAACTCTAAGAAGCAAACAGCAAAAGGGAGCTCTCTTTGGAGCGATGTTCCAGCCAGGGCTCATGAAAGCAAATGGCAGACTGAGAACGTGAACAGTCAACCTTAAATAGATGGATGAATGTAGGCATTGCACTTGAACAGCATTCAACACCAAAAGAGATGAGAATCTTTCTGTTTTGTTTTTTTTTTCTTCAGTAACCTGTACTCTACACTCACAATAATGACAAGGGAAGGCAAACCTACAAGTCTACAGCACAGAGAACTAATTTATTCAGTAAGTGCATTGCAAAGTAATTACAAAGAAATGGAGCCATAGATTAACAGAGACCTGGGCAGAAAAATGGCCAGTGAATCTACCACAGTAACAGACTAAGCAAGGAAAACCATGGAAGGGCTCCATCTGTAAAGAGCTCTCTGTGCAAACATGAAGACCAAAGTTTCATCTCCATCACCCATGTAAAAACCAGGCATTCACTTGACATCACAGCACTGCACAAATGGAGACAGGAGGATCCCTGTCTAGCTGGCCTAGCAGAATCAGTGAGCCAAAGACTCCAGTGAGAAGCCCTACTTGAAAAATAAGGTGGGCAGCTCATGAGAAACAACACTCAAAGTTGACTCCTGGCTCATACACACACCCACACATATGTGCACCTACTCGTGTGAAAGCATGCACACATACACTCACACAGCATGAGACAGTTATACTCCTACATTCCTGAAGTGAAGAATACTTGAACTTGAAAGTACAGTGTTGTTTATTCTAGCACAGAAGAAATTCCAGTATTCAAATAAAATGGAAGCAAGCAATAAAAATGTATGCCCAAACCCATAAACTCTGATAAAAAGAAAAACAAAAAACCTGAAGATTACACCATACGTATCAACTAGAGAGAACAGTCCATCAATGTGTTCCAATTTGACCTGAAGACTCAGTATACTCACAACCCAAATCCCAAAGGCTACACAAAACTGATACCAACAATCTCTTCCAAAATGAATATGGGAAACAAAGAAACTAGAATAGTGAAAGCAATCCTGCAAAAGAACAAAGTTAGAGGGCTGACACTGTGCAATTCTAATATATACTGTGGAGCTTCAGAAACCACTATGGGTTTTTGGGTGAAACAGTAGGTCACAGACCAATGATGTACACACCTGGATCAATGGAACAGAAGAGAGCCCAGAAACAGCCAATGACTAGGCCTAAGCAGTTTTAGTGACAAAAAAAAACAAAAACAAAAAAAAAAAAAAAAACATTAAGACAATTCAATGGACAAATGAATTGCCTTTCAAAGTGGGGCTGGCAACACTGATGTTGATAACATAAAAGAACAAAATCAATACAGAGGTGTTGAAATCCCATTTCTAGCTAAGGAGCTATTATTAATTGAGAGCTGGTGGGAGAAGGAGAGGCAGTTTTCCTTAAGGGTGTGGACCCAGTAGGCCTACTAAGCTCCAGTGGAAGGCCATATATTACAGAGTATAATGGCAGCACAAATTGTACTTGGATGAGTTGAAAGAAAAACAAAGACACAAAATTGAGTAGGGAAAGTGGTGGATCTAGAAGGAGTTGGGCTAGGAGATGAATATGATCAACGTACTTTGTGTGAAGGTCTCAAAGAACTAGTAAAAATGAGGAAGGGGTCTTTCAAAAAGACAAAGAATAAACAAATCTATCGCATGCCTTATACAAGTACATCCCAGCATGGACATAGATGCCCTAAATACTTTCTGAATAGTAAAGTAAAAATAGGTATGTGGGCATACAAATCTCCAAGGATGGTAACTCTCCAATCTCTCTTCCCAGAGATATTACCATACACAGTATCATGCTACTGCTGCTTTTGTTTATAACATACGGGAGGTTATTCCCAGGCGAATATTCTCTCAATCAAGCCATCAGGAAGGAGTTTACAAGGTAGGAGGTTTGGGGGAGCTCCTGCAGATCTGGGGGTGTTGCACTAGTTCATGGTCATTGCACTCATACCCAAAGAAAAGGTCAAGCTCTGGGTTTAAGAAACAGTTTCCTTCCCTTTGTTCCAGAAAGAGGAGCCCTAGAGATGCTCTGCCTACTCCTTCAGTCCATCTTACTGTACAAAGCTGCTCTTAGGGAAAGCGCTTCATCACAACCTGTGTACGAAGTCAAGAAAAGACTGTCTAATTGCCCATGTTAGCGGAGGGCTCCATTTGCAGCCTTTAGGTAGGCGCTTGGCATCT